AAAGAGCATTGGAATAAGTTCTGTTCAGTTTTTTTCCATCACTGCCAAATTGAAACTGGAGAAATCAGACTGTCCAATTCTTTGTCTACTTGTTTGTATAGTGGGTTTCTTAACAAGATTTTATTTCCTTGTATAGTATTTTTGGGAGCTTCTTACTATATTAAAAAAGGATGCAAATAAAGAAACTCAGATATCCTTTGATTTTCCAAAATTCTTGTCCTCTTTAACTTGTCAAATTTTAAAATGAGCTTTCAAAACTGGCAAGCTGTTGTAAAGGAAGCACAAAATGATATATGCACAATTTTCTTTTGCAAAATGTAGGGATGCTGCACTGTGTGGTTGTATAATTCCATAATGGGATATTATATAAAGTCAGTGAGAAAAGTTTAGAGAATTATTTTAAGGATCTACACCCAACCTACACCTAATGAAGCACATTCAATGGCATCAAGGCTGTTGCTTCCATTAATAAAAACAAAATGAGCAGCTGCTGGAAATCTGAAACAAACACAGAAAGTGCTGGAGCAACTCAGCATTTCTGGCATCATCTGTGGAGGGAGAAGTAGAATAAACATTTTGAGTCTGGTATGACTGTTCTTCAGAGCCTGAAGAACTTCAGAAGAAAAGTTCTTAAGAAGAATAATATCAGACTTGAAACATCAACTTTGTTTCTCCACGGATGATGCCAGATCTGCTGAGTTTGTCCAGTATTTTCTGTGTTTGTTATTTCTCTGAGATAGTAGGAACTGCAGATGCTGGAGAATCTGAGATAACAAGGTGTAGAGCTGGATGAACACAGCAGGCTAAGCAGCATCAGAGGAGCAAGTAAGCTGACGTTTCGGGCCTAGACCCATTTCTCTTAACTCTTTTGACTCGCCTTTGTCATTTTGTGGTTTGGCTTTGGGATCATTTACAAGATCAGATGGTTTATAGCCTACAATATTTTATGCAATGTTTAGTCCAGTCATCATTTTCAGTTTGTTTTCTTTCTGAATTGACTGCCCTTTTTACTGCCTTGCTAGGGTTGACTGAAAAAAAAAGCCTGTTCAATCAACATGTTTACCTTCCGGCCTATCATTGGCTTTGCCTGTACCATGCTCTTTGATTTACTGGATGCCACGTCATCAAGGCCCACGATCTGTGTTCTACTTAATTTATCTCACTGTGCTGGTATTTGCAAATGGTGGTGAGAGTGATGCAGAGTGCTGGCTTGCTCTGAAGCACTGGAAGATCTAGCAGGTATTCTACCAGAACAACAGGAGAGGAAATAAGTTTCATTGCTAATTCCAAAATGTAGCTATACACAGAGTCTGATCCAGTATTCTGTGTATTTTCTATTGTTGTGGGTATATTTCGTGGAAGTGAATGATGAAGATCAAGGTGTAACCAGGACAATGTGGTACAAGGCTGAACTTGAAGGAAATTATGGCATTGCCTGTCTGTATCTCCTCAAAGCTCTCAGAGTAGAGATGTGGAAGTGGCAATCTCAATGACATATCATTTCTCGACCTTTTGTCAATTGGTCAGTTCTTTTCCTTTATAGGAACAATGTTTCCACTCCACTCATCAGGAAGATCCCTTTTTTATGAGCATCTGGACAATTTGAGAACAAGCTGCACATGATTTAGTTAAACTGGTTGAAATATCATTGCCATTTGCGCCAAAAATTGACATTCACTCCTGATGACCAATGATCCTTTATCAACTGCATTAGCCTGCAAGGATAGTCTGTGACATGATCCCTTGGTTTCAGGATAATACATGTTGATATACATGTGCCCAACCTGATTTCCAAGTCATTGGATGAAGTAAAACACAAAAGGTTCACGTAGAAGATAAGGGCTCATGCACATGGGTGTAATACACTGCCCGTCTGGTGAGATATTCATCATAAGACATAGATGCAGAAGCAGGCCGTTCAGTCTGCTCCACTATTCAGTGAGATTACGGCTGATCTCATAATCTTCAATTCCACAATTCTACCTTTTCCCCTTAACCCTTGATTGCCTTACTGATTAAAAATCCATCTAACTCAGCCTTAAGTATACTTAGGGACTCAACCTCAACAGACCTCTGCAGCAAAGAATTCCACAGATTCAGAGCCCTGTGAGAGAATATGTTCCTCCTTATATTGCTGTCTTAAATGTATGATCCCTTATTCTGAGATTATGCCCTCTGGTCCTAGACTCTTCCATAACCTTTCCATATCTAATTGGTCAAGTTCCCTAAGAATCTTGTCTGTTTCAATAAGGTCACTTCTCATTCTTCTACATTCCAATGAGTACAGCCCTAGTCTACTCAACCTCATAAGACTGCCTCCAGTGCCAGTACATCCATCCTTAGACAAGGGGCCCAAAATGCTTCACTGTATTCCAGCTGTTGTCTGACTAGTGATTTGTAAAGTTCTAGCAAAACTTCACTTGTTTTATACTTCATTCCTTTGAAATAAAGGCCAACAGTCCATTTCCCTATTACCCGCTGAACTTGGATGTTAGATTCTTGTGATTCAAGAATGGGGATTCCCAAATCCCTGTGTTCTGTAGCTTTTTGCAGTCTTTTTCCATTTAAATAATATTCAGCCCCTCTATTCTTCCCACAAAGTGCATAACCTCACATTTTCCGGCATTATACTCCAGCTGCCAAGTTTTTGCCCACTTAATTAAACCCTGAAGCAATTTTTTTTCTGAATAGAAGTGAAAAAGGTCCTACGGACATCTTCTTAATTTTGTAACCATTTGCTCCTCAATCATTGCCATTAAATCAAATTGACTTTCTAAAAACTCTTTCATTGGATTTGCATTGTAGGCAAGCCGCCTGTTGTCTAACACTAATTGCATCTGAGAAAGTGCATCTGAGATGGTGGTGATTTACCATCTCGAATAGCTGCAGTCCATGTGATGTGGCTGATCATTTATCCAGGTTGGTGTTTGTGTCACTTAGTTGTGCATTTTCTGTCCATATTTGCCTAAAAAAGACAAGAGTAACAATACTTCAAAAGTAGTTCATTGGCTGTAAAGTACTTTGGGACATCCTGAAAGATTCCAAAAGGATTTGGGCTTGTTAAAATACTGCTTTGAAAACTCAGCCACATGTTTTGAGTCAACAGTAGCTTCTTCATCTTATTAAGGTTGCTTCCTAGATGCATATGCCCCAATCCCATATTTATATTTAAATGTGATCTCCATTACTGTCTTTCTGGGATTTTGCTTTAACTCTTTCATACTTCTTATGCCAGTAAACTCTGGACCCCCTTTGCTATTTTGATTTGTATGCAGCCTGTTTCATCTTCTATTTCCTTACAGTATTGCAACTTAAAGTAAATTCAACTGGACATTTATGCCTCCAAGAGGAAATCTCATAGTTGTGAAGTCAAGCTAACCTCTTTATGACCTGAGTGCTGCTTTTTGCCCATGAGTTCATCACTGTAGTGGCAAATATTCAATGTCAGTTTCCATAAAGTACAGATATTTGATGCAGATATTGATCATTTTAATAATAGGAGTACTGCATTGAACCTCTCTGATCAAATTTATGTACAACTATAAGACTAGACTTTAGGAATATGCACTATACACGTCACTGTTGAAAACTATCATCTTTATTTAATTATATAGTACTCAATTTTGTTATCGATTTTCCAGATTATCAATTTTAATTAAAATGCTTTTGTATTTTTGGTACCACGTTAAGAGATACTACTTATTTAATATAGAGAGCTAAAATAAAATAACAAACAAATTAGTTAACTAGTTAATAAGTGTTCAAGTAAAGTATTTGTTTAAAATGATGTATTAAGCAATGTTTACTACTCCATGTTGGTTGATGTAATTTGAGTAGAATAAACCTCACCAATAACGGTTGTCCAGAGAAATGTGTCTGGAATGTTTTATTTATCTGAAATTTCCAGAAATAAATGAAACAAAAAGAAAATAAGCTAATTTAACACCAAATATGGATGCCAAATTTTAATAAATTTGTGAAATCAAACAATGAGCACTTTCGCACAGTAACTTACAGAGGAGCTAGGAGAATTTTAGGTTCCTTTCGGGTTATTTTTGCTTACTGAAAAATGGTTTACATTTAGTGGCTGAATTACCGCACTGACACACACATTTGTTGGCATGCAGATGCAAAGGAATTCCAGCACCCATCTATTTTGCTTGTCTTCCCCAACTCTAGCACAGGAATTTATAGTCAACGACAATGCAGTAATGATCAATGTCACATCAATTTGTTCCTCGCAACCTGACATTGTCCTTTCAAAATTTTATCAAACAATGCTTCAGGAAATGGCCATTCTGCACTGACCCTCCAAAGAGCGTCCCACTCAGTCCCCACCCCATCCCTGTAACCCCCCATATACCATGACTAACCCAACTAACCTGTACATCCGTAGACACTATGGGCAATTTAGCAATCTACCTAATCTGTGCATCTTTGGACTATGAGAGGAAACCAGAGCACCCAGCGAAAACTCCACGCAGACGGGGGAAGAATGAGCAAATGCTGCACAGACAGTCTTCCTCGAGTGGAATCGAACCCAGTTCCCTGGCGCTGTGAGACAGCAGTACTAACCACTGTGTCACCGTGCTGCCCCATTCAATAAACTTGTATCCAGATTGAAACTATAGCACTGTACAGCCAAATGTTTTTATAAACAATTAGAAACAATTTGTTGTGGTTTCATATGCTCAACCCAAACTCATAAAGAAGCCAAATATATATATAAATTAATAGAAAAATGCCTGAATTGCCAACAACATCTGAATTATTTTGATAGGAAATAATAGTTGGGATTCCAAACTTGCACATAGAAAGAAAACATTTGTCAATTTCTTTTTCACAGACCCTGTTCAATTGTAACTACTGAAATTCATTTGTTGATATTGCATTCACTATCTAATGTGCCTTTGTTGCGCCCTCCCTATATTGAGCCTTGGATGAAAGTATGTAGGGTCTCCTTTCTTTCATTGACTTCTTGCGTTTCCTCATTATTTCAGGTCTGTGACTTGTCATTCAGCCTAAAAAAAATGCTGATTAGGCACAAACTGACGCACAACCCAAATCGGCCAATGGCAGAATGCCAGCTCTGTCACAAGAAGTTTACAAGAAATGACTACCTCAAGGTTCATATGGAGAATGTACACGGAGAGACGGACAGTTGAACCTCTGATTTTCACATTCCATCAGAGAACTTCAAAATTCCTGGAGCTCGGACAATTTATTGCTCAGTGCAGTGGTTGACTGCAGATGTCAGTATTACTGGAATACTATGCCTTCCAGAAATGTCTGAGTTATGAAGTATTATCCAACAGCTAATATGTTTTAGTTTAATGAAAATGACAGCATGGGAGATGTGCAGAGTTTAAAAATCCATCTTTCAAAACATGTTTAAATTACAATCGGTAATCCACTGTGGACTTTTTGTGCAACGTTCAAAAATTTTCATAATCTGTATACTCTTCATTTTAGTAATGCTTTACTGAATAAATACCGACACTTTGTAATTGTTACTCTTGATTGTAAGCAGTACCAGAGAATTTTGTTCTCCTGTGCAGAAAATCTTTTATTACAGGTTTCGGATCATGTAGTCCAAGGCAGAAAGACATTATTTTTCACTATAATACTGTTATTTATGTCATAAGAAACTATTACTATAGCAGTACGAATTAACAAAATATATATTTCTTAGTATTCTTCAAATAAAAATAGAAATGTGAAATTTCTTTCTGTGCCTTCCTTTTCTTCTCTTTCCAATTTTTAAGACCTTTGGTTCATTTTTTTTGTTTTTCTTACTTAGTTACTACATTGTAAATATAATGTGACATTTTTATACTCTGAAGAAGTTGGTACTGATAATTTAAGCGCTTAAATTGTTGCTTTCTATCATCAAACACACACGAAAGAAATTCAACCCTGATCAATTAAACAAAAACTCCCTTATAGTTAATCTTTGATGTAATATTTTGCAACTTTTGAAAGCTTAACATAGCTGAAGCATTTGAGGAGAAGACTCATATTATCGTTATCTAAATTGTAGTGGGCTATGGTGTATCAAGCAAACATTTGCTTGTATCATATTTGAGCAGGTTTGATTGAGAAATTTTTGATTGAAATTTTGGCCTGGACTGCTTCAAACAAAAATGCAAGCCTTTGTTTAGATCATCATTAAAAAGGGACTGCTGGTGGCATATGTTTGTTCTTTGTAGGAGAGGAAACACAAATCCTCTCCACAACCATCATTCACTGAAATCATCAAATCTAAATGGGGTATCCTATAAACATGCAGAATGCAGGTATTCCACATTGGGATACAATCAGCATCAGGGGCACATTGTTTCCAGATGTAGACCCACAAGTACTTATCCCCCCACCCCCTGCACAGGGCCACTAGGAATGGACAATAAATGCTCATCTTGTCAGCCAATAATACATGGATACTTTATCGATTTGAGAGGGTTAGGAATGCCTATATGGAGATTCTATATGATTCTTTAATCTACACAGTGACTGTAATTCTTAAAATGCAATATTTGGACAAAAAGTTGAGAAATAGACACTAAAACATATTTGTTATATTTGTTTTTTTTAATCAAAATATACATCTAAATCTCATGCATGTATTCCTAAGTATTTTGATTTGTTTTACAGATATTTTTAATCAACCTATTCAAAGATGTTATGACACATCTCTGGACCAGGTAGGACTTGAACCTAGACCATTGGATCAAAAGGTAGGGGCAAACCACTGTGCCATAAGTGCCCTTGGTCTGGTTTATAAGAATACTGTCAAGCATAATCAGGAAATACAAATACTTAATGATTATTGTTCAGATATGTTGTTACCCAGCTTGTATTTTTCTACATTTGCCAAGTGTATCATCTCTTCTTTCAGCTGTGAAATAAAGTGTGCACTCCAACTGCAACTGCAGTGAATTATGCCGAAAATCTGAATGCCACTAAATTAAAAATGTAAACGATGAATATCCTTTCACCCTTTCACCATACCACCCTCCAGAACTCAATGTGGCAATATGGTGTGTGAAATGCATGTGGTCAAGACCTGAACACACAAGACCCGAGGTCACCCCACATGAATTGCAAAAAAATCAAGGGGGTGCATGCACCCTGCCACCATCACTCTCAGATACAACCCTGGAAACCTGCTGAGGTGGTAACATAAAATGATTTCCAGCATTTATTATTTACTTATGAAGAAATAATTGCTTGTAGTACAGAATTTATTGGCTCTGATAATTGACCAGGAAAATGCATCCAATCAAGTGCTGATGATTCTATGTGCTTTCCTGTTGACGTGAAGGACAGTGTGGGATGGGGGAACCGATGACAGGAACATGCGGGCGAGGCAGTCAGAGACAAAAGCTTTTGTAATGAAATTGCCAAACTAGATCCAATCAGCATTGTCAACCCAAGCGAGGCAGGAGGCTGAATCTCTGTGCCCAGATTGAACAGTTTCTAGGCAGGGGTCCACATTCCAAATCAAATCAGGGATACCACGTTTTTAACTGACATAGATAAATCCTACCTGGGAAATCTAGGCAGGCTGTTCGGCCTGATTGCCTCCTTCAACTCCTTTATGCAGCAGGAGACTGAGACATGTTGTTTGTTTAAAGCTTAAATGCAATTTCATAGAAAGGGAGCATCACTGAAGTCATCTGAGACATCAACATTTCCTGAAGCCCACACAGGTCCTCTGTATATGTTACTTAATGGCACAGGCATTTCCCAGACCATGCTAAATAAGGAACTTGCAAGCATACGAATCAGGAACAGGAGTAAGCCATTCAGTCCCTTGAACCTACTCCGCCCACTTTTTCATTAGATCATGACTGATCTGATTATGGCCTGAAGTCTGCTGTCCTATATGCCTCCATACCCTTTGACTCCCTTGTCAAACAAGAATAGATCTAATTCAGCCTTAAGTATATTCAATGATTATGCCTCCATCATTCTGAGGAAGAGAGTTCCACAGACTGAGAGGAAAACATTCTCTTCATTCTCTTAAATGGGAGACCATTTATTTCTAAACTTTGTTCCCAAGTTCTTCCCCCTTAAGTGAAGCATTCTTTCCATACTCCCATAAAATCACCTCTCACTCCTCTGAATTCAAATGGATGAAGGCACAATCTGGTCAGCCTTTCTTCGTAACTCAGCTTTTTCATCCCAAGAATCAGTTGAGTGATTTCATCGAATGAAATTATATCCTTTCTTCAAATAGGAGACCAAAAGTGGACACAGTACCTCAGCTCTTGTCTCACCTAGTATACACCATTGCAAAATGTCTCTACTCTTATATTACATCCTTCTTGCAACAAGGAAAATACATTCCATTTGCCTTCATAATTATTTGCTGTATCTGCATACTAACCTTTCACAATTCATGTGTCAGGACATTTGAACAGTCCTTTGTACTGTTGATTTCTACAATCTCTCTCTCCATTTAAATTATATGCTGCTGTTCTGTTCTCCCTACCAAAATGGTCATGTTCACATTTAACCAAGTTATACTCCATCTGCCAAATTTTGTCCAATACTTAGTCAATCTAAATCTCCTTGTTTTGTCTTTACAAGTTACTGTCCTACCTATCTTTGTGGCAACAGCAAATTAGGCCTGTTCAGAATTTAGAAGGTTAAGGTTGATCTGATTGAAGTCTTCAACATATTAATTAAAAAGACAAATAAACTATTTCCTCTGGTTGGAGATTCTCAAACTAAGGGGCACAGTCTGAAAATTAGGGCAGACTGTTCAGGAGAGATGTTAGGAAGTATTTCTACACATAAAAGGTGGTAGAGATTTGGAACTTCCTTCCACAAACGGCAATGGATACAAGATCAGTTGTTAGTTTTAAAACGTGAGATAGATAAAAATTTTTGTTAAGCAAAGGTATTAAAAGGATATGGGACAATGGCAGGTACAGTAACTCCTCTGTATCTGCGAGAGCATGACTTGTAAATTTGCCTGTCTGCGCCAAAAGGTAAGTGCAAAAAAATTCAAATTCCACAGGCAAACTAATGATTTTTAACCTATTTTTAACAGGCTCTGTACTCGTGAATTTCATCATTCATGGGGGCTCTCAGAAACAGAGCCCTCGCGCATATGGAGGAATGACTCTGTATGCAATCATGCCACAGATCAGTCATGATCTTATTGGATGGCAAAGCAGGATCAAGGGGCTGAATAGCCTACCTCTGTTTCTTTGATGCTATCTTGTCAATTTCTTCTGGAAGACCAAATACATCACATCAACAAGTTCTCTTTTATTGTTGTTGCTTATCATCTCCTCAAGAAAGTATCCTTAGAATCCCTACAGTTTGGAAACAGGCCATTTGGCCTAACAAGTCCACACCAACCCTCCGAACAGCATCCCACCCAGACCCTTCCCCTTACACTATCCCTATAACCCTGCATTTCCCATGGCTAATCCACTTAACCTACACATCCCTGAACATTATGTGCAGTTTAGCATGGCCAATCCACCCAACCTGCACATCTTTTGACTCTCATAAATTAATCAGGCATGATTTGCCAATCACAACATCGTCCTAGGATTTCATGATTATTTGATAAAATCAAATATATATAGTGAGGATTCAAAAGGTTTAGCAGTTATAGTTGTTTATAGAGCATTCAGGGAGGTGATGCCCTAGTGCTATTATTACCGAACTATTAATCCAGAGACCCAGGTAATGTTTTGGGGACCCGGGTTCGAATCCCACTATAGCAGATGGTGGAATTTGAGTTCAGTGTAAAAGAAATCTGGAATTAAGAGGCTAATGATGACCTGATTTTCAGAAAAATCCATCTGGTTCACTAATGTCCTTTAGGGAAAGAAATCTGCCATCTTTACCTGGTCTGGCCCAGATGTGACTTCAGACCTACAGAAATGTGGTTGACTCTTACCTGCCTTCTGGGCAATAAATGCTGCTTAGCCAGTGATGTCCTCATCCCGTGAATGAAAAGAAGAAAATTTAGACTAAAGCACGAATGGCATGAGTTTGCCAATTTAGCAAATTGACAAACCAGAAGATGTGCAAACATTTAAAAAATTGATTTGAAGAACCTAAAGCCATTCTGACTGATATTAAAAGGGTGGTGTTTTCATGTGCACTGCTGCCTGGTGACATTCTTGTCTTGCAATTGTTGACACAGCACTAACAGTAGTATCAACATTTGGCACTCCATACTACTGTGTAATGAGCTGCCATTGATTCTATTTGAGTCATTCTATGGATTCAAAACCTTCAAACCTTATCTAACATGACAGGTACTTCAAACATATGGCTTATATTGCCTGTAAATTTTGGTATCCAATTTCTAGGCATTTCTTTTAAGCAACTGGCAACAGTATCTCAAGGTGGTTGTCTGAGGTTGTGAAATTGATGTGTCAGGCTCAACGCTCTCCTGAAGGAAGGGGATCATGACTTTAAATCTTTTGTTACATGCAGGTTGTGATGTGTAAGTGCAAAAGCAGATGACGAATCCATTGGTGGTCCTCCAAAGAGAGCATGTTAAGGATCGCACTTGGCAGCAAACCTTAAGGTTTTTTGACTATCCCCTTAGCAGATTGTATGCATTTAAATCATGAGGTAAGTATAATTTTAATCAGTATCAAGTGGCTGAGCAAATTGGGGAGGA